GAGTGATGACATGGAGCTGGTGACAGGAGATGTCAATGGTGATGGAGGAACCACAGAGAGTGATGACATGGAGCTGGTGACAGGAGATGTCAATGGTGATGGAGGAACCACAGAGAGTGAAGACATGGAGCTGGTGACAGGAGATGTCAATGGTGATGGAGGAACCACAGAGAGTGATGACATGGAGCTGGTGACAGGAGATGTCAATGGTGATGGAGGAACCACAGAGAGTGAAGACATGGAGCTGGTGACAGGAGATGTCAATGGTGATGGAGGAACCACAGAGAGTGATGACATCGAGCTGGTGACAGGAGATGTCAATGGTGATGGAGGGACCACAGAGAGTGATAACATGGAGCTGGTGACAGGAGATGTCAATGGTGATGGAGGAACCACAGAGAGTGATGACATCGAGCTGGTGACAGGAGATGTCAATGGTGATGGAGGGACCACAGAGAGTGATGACATGGAGCTGGTGACAGGAGATGTCAATGGTGATGGAGGAACCACAGAGAGTGATGACATGGAGCTGGTGACAGGAGATGTCAATGGTGATGGAGGAACCACAGAGAGTGATGACATGGAGCTGGTGACAGGAGATGTCAATGGTGATGGAGGAACCACAGAGAGTGAAGACATGGAGCTGGTGACAGGAGATGTCAATGGTGATGGAGGAACCACAGAGAGTGATGACATGGAGCTGGTGACAGGAGATGTCAATGGTGATGGAGGAACCACAGAGAGTGATGACATCGAGCTGGTGACAGGAGATGTCAATGGTGATGGAGGAACCACAGAGAGTGATGACATCGAGCTGGTGACAGGAGATGTCAATGGTGATGGAGGAACCACAGAGAGTGATGACATGGAGCTGATGACATGGAGCTGGTGACAGGAGATGTCAATGGTGATGGAGGAACCACAGAGAGTGATGACATGGAGCTGGTGACAGGAGATGTCAATGGTGATGGAGGAACCACAGAGAGTGATGACATGGAGCTGGTGACAGGAGATGTCAATGGTGATGGAGGAACCACAGAGAGTGATGACATGGAGCTGGTGACAGGAGATGTCAATGGTGATGGAGGAACCACAGAGAGTGAAGACATGGAGCTGGTGACAGGAGATGTCAATGGTGATGGAGGAACCACAGAGAGTGAAGACATGGAGCTGGTGACAGGAGATGTCAATGGTGATGGAGGAACCACAGAGAGTGAAGACATGGAGCTGGTGACAGGAGATGTCAATGGTGATGGAGGAACCACAGAGAGTGAAGACATGGAGCTGGTGACAGGAGATGTCAATGGTGATGGAGGAACCACAGAGAGTGATAACATGGAGCTGGTGACAGGAGGGGTTGGAGATGATGCTGCAGACACTGATGCTTGTGAAGAGATGTGTCCACAAGCATAAAGACTATATAGAGAAACAGAAAAACACATTTGGTAACACATTAGTTAATACAGCTGTGCATATTACAGTACTATATTTACTCATGATCACCTTGTAATGTTATATATTATGCTTTGTGTGTGTATATTTTTCCAAAAGGCTAAAAATGTTGGTTTACATATCAGAATTTCAGATTGATCCCAGAGTAAGAGGTCATTTTTTCAATAATTATTATACCATTATTATACTACTACTTTCCCCTCTTTGAAACCCTCTGCTCTATTACAAGTAAATGTCATGCATTCAAAATGTTAGCCTACTTAGCTAAAACAAGTAAGTTTAGCATCAAAATATACTAAAAGTACTAAAAGTAGAAGCATAATGTACACTATATTATTGGATTATAATTAGTGATGCCTTAGTGTGTAACAATCATTTTAATGTTGCAGCTGGTAAAGCTCAGAGCTGTAGTAAACTGTAACGTTATATACTTTATTCTGCTAGGTCGTCTAATCTATAAAATCAATTTTTTTAAATAATATTTTTGTATTAATTACTTGAATTATTAGCTAGTCTGAGCCACAGGTTATTCATTTAAAACAACTATATATATTTGGCACTTTACTTTTATTGACAAAAGACTGACTTACTTTGCAAATGTTGATCAGAAGTTAATCAATGAACGTTCTCCTCTTCTACAGTTGCAATGGGCTATATGCACGCATAAGTTCCGCGTTTGACGCAAGGATGCTCTTGCGTTTCCGGTTGGGGAGATTTAAAGCGGAGGAAAACCGAGGAAAACGGGATTATGGCAGAGTCTTCAAAATGTACTGTCCTCTCGTCTTTGAAACGAAACTTTAATACGTTTAGATGTAATTTTATATATAGTTATGTTTATTTAATATAATAAACAAAGAAGCATAAACAAAATGAGGGGTGTCTATTTTGTCTGTTTTTGTGACTAACGTTTCTTTAGTATAGCAATAGAGTATAAAAACCAATATAAATTCTCGGAATAGCATTGGACTCTACGATCGGCGGAAGCAGAGCCGTTGACGGCTCTGGGCGGAAGTAATCCAGCATCAGACATTAGACCAGTGTTTCTCAACCTCTTCTGCAGGGACCCCCTGACAGGCCATGTTTTTGTTTTAACTCTGAAATGGCACACCTGATTCAAGTAATTAAAGGCTTAATGAGTAATTAGAGTAGGAATAGTTCAATTAATCAATTAGTCAACTACTCATTAAGCCTTTAATGACTTGAATCAGGTGTGCCATTTCAGGGTTAAAACAGAAACATGGCCTGTCAGGGGGTCCCTGCAGGAGAGGTTGAGAAACACTGCATTAGACCTTCACCGGAAATACCGCCGTGCATAGAGCCGCAAGTCTCGGGGGGAAGGGGGCTCTTGACGTTGATTGGTCAATTCTTGGTTAGTTACTAGGCTGAATCATGGTAGCGATACGAGCCGTGATTGGCCATAGCATACGAATCTTGGTTGCAGCCGGGAAAGTGATTGGCTGTCATTACCACGATTTACAGGTGACATGAAGCACCCCTTCCAAAGCCACGCCCCAAAAACACATGAACGCGTGATGCCGACCGCTCAGCTGGAGGACGCGTTTACCAGCGCCGAGTGGAGAGGAGCGCAGTGCATTGAGTGACATCACCTTTTTTGCCTTGTTTGCCTGCATTGACTGTATATGCAGGTACAGGTGGTACTGGGAATTTTGACTGCTCTTTCTCTGCCATAATTGTGTGAGACTTCCAAGCTTCAGGCTGGTACATGCCTCTCCTCTTTCGAAATAGAGAGCATAAGTCCCTCCCCTTCCGGTCGACCGCCATGGGACCGTATTTCGGAAAAATATTGTATGGTAGTCAATGGTTGAGAGACAACAAATATTTTGATCTCGTTTGAATTGTGCCCTGAATTACACATATGATGTTTGTCAATTTAAAAGATACATTTTAAAGTCAAGAAAGTCGCAGTTTGATGTAAAACTGTTGAGGTATAAGACTTTGAAAATACGTAATTACAAAGACTACAAACCCAAAAGGCGCACATTTTCTCTCAATGAATGAAGCTTACTTTACTGAAGCTAACGTCTGTCATTTTCCTATAGTCTTACGTTATAATCGTAACGTTATGCCGTCACGCCTGAGTGTTTTGTACAAGACTGCACACACACGAGCAACGGATCTCGCTCGTTGTTTCGCTTCCCGGGAGATGTAGTTCATTGAGCGATTTTCACATAAAACTAAATGTTACTCTTCTGTTTTATGACAAACTGCGACTTTCTTGACTTTCATAATTATCTTTTAAATTGACAAACATCATATGTGTAATTCAGGGCACACTTCAGACGGAATAAAAAGATAAGATGTCTCTCGTCATTGACTACCATACATATTTTTTCCGAAACAAGGTCCCATGAGCCGGAAGCGGAGGGGCGGGACTTAGGCTCTCTATAAGCGAGTCAAAAAGCTCCTGTAGCAGGAGGGGTGGTAGCCATGGTAGCGAGGGAGAGTGACAGTCGCCCAGCCAATCATTGCATTCGTTCCGAATGGAAAGAGTAGCTGTTTATTGCAGCCCTGAGAGGTCTACAGACACTCGTTTTTTATACTCTACTTTTCAGAGTACTTACATTTTAGATATGTATTGGTATATAAAGACAGTTTCAACAAATTTGGGGGAAAGTGTTTTAGAAACAAACCGCCTACCCTACCTTTAAGACACACATTTTCCTTGTGAGTCCTTTGAAACTACAAATGACTCGTGGGCGTGGCTACTAAAAGTATTCAGTTTTGGATCAAAATGCCGAAACCCGGGATCGAACCAGGGACCTTTAGATCTTCAGTCTAACGCTCTCCCAACTGAGCTATTTCGGCGAATATTCCTACTATATTGGTGAAGTGTGGATCTATAAACTACCAACAGGGAACTACTATACCTTTTATTTTTAATATATACCGGTACATGTGGTTGTATACAAAACGATGTACCACAAGAGAGTATAACTCTCTGTGACTGACAGACCTGCCAAACATTTAAATTAAACGACAATCTACCCAATTATTTTAAAGGGATAGTCCGCCCAAAACAACGGCTGGCTTGTCATTTAACGTACACAATCTGGAAACCTTTATAATGACTTGTTTTAAAATAACCATACCACCAATCTAAAGTCGCTGTTGCTCATTTCAAAGGCTGCTGCGCCCTCCAGTGTTCGCATTTGTCGGCCGTATACGTCATCGAGGATGTTTTATTTAAGAAAAGTAACCTTTATAAAACTAACTGTTATTCCCCGTGAGCATAAATTATTGTAATTTCTTTCTTTAAGATGTAATGGTTGCTTTTCTGAGGCAGCCTCGAAAATGTTTACGGTGGACAAATACGACCACAGGAGGGCGCTGCATTCGAAATGAGACACAGCTTAGTCATACTACATAGAGTCACGTGGGTTATCTACAGTCGTCGGGCCAGTGGCGCAATGGATAACGCGTCTGACTACGGATCAGAAGATTCTAGGTTCGACTCCTGGCTGGCTCGTATCTTTTCTTCATTCGATTAATACTTTGTAAGCATAACGTCAAGCATTTTATCACATATCGCATTACTTTAATATTTTATTGTGGCAGCAAAGAAGGGTTTACAGAAGTGTGCATTAATCAGCAATCAATAATTTTATCACATACACTATGTTGCAGTATACTTTAATACTTTATTGTGGCAGCAAAGCAGAGTTTACAGAAGTGTGCATTAATCACCATTCAATCCAATCCATATAACAAAAGCTAACAAAGCAAGTATTTTTTTTCTGTTGGTACTGGTAGCATATTTCACAATATTTAACTGCTGTGAACAGCGACTGGTCCTCTTGTCTTCAACAGCTACTGGACTCTGTGCTCAGTCACCCTGATAAAAGTGAGAATATGTAATTAAATTAAAATGCATTAAATTGAATTAGCTCAAATTAATATACATATGCTCTGAGCATAATATTACAACCTCATCCTTGCACTCAGGGACATTTTTACATGGTTTTCTCTGTGTTTGATTTTCCAAACCCGTACAATCCACCTCTGGCTTTCCTGAGAATATATTGAGGTCTTTGATACTATGAGAGATAAAGAAAACCAAAGAATATGTACACTGATTGTGAAACAATGCACAACCTATATCATTTATGTAATGGAATTGCACCCTTATATGATTTATTATAGACAACATTTTCTTTCAAGCATGAGATGTTTTCCCCTACCGGTATGCAGTGATGTTAGGAAGACACTGTATTTCTCTTGTTTGTGCAGAGTCTGGTCCACAGTTAGGTTTGCAATAACTCCACTGGCTCCACTCTGACAAGACACCTGTCACTGAACATAGTAAGAGAGTGTTATTTGTTTGAAAAGCTGACCTTCCACCTGTGATGTTTTGGAAAATCCTATTTTTGTCTGAAACTAGAAGAAACCATAATCTAATATTATCATTCACAATGTAATGAATGTCCATTTTGTTTGAGATGTAATAACATTAAGTTTGTAAATTTGTAAAATGTTATAGACATATTGATGCTAAACAATAAAAATGAGCATGAGTTCTATTTATGTAGGCTAGCTTTCAATTGAAAAAAACATGCGCTGTGTCCGAATATGCCTACTTGCGTACATTGTAGGGCTATTCTAAAAACAGTACGCCAAAAGTGTAGTATGTCCTAATTCATAGTATTCGTAAAACAGTAGGCGAAAAGTACACGGATGACCAACTACTTCTGCCAAGATTCTTGAGTGCGCATCCAATGGACAGTTTACAATACCATGAAGCAACAGCTGCATAGGAATTGTGAACGCCAGTGAAGTGTCGCAACTGACACCAGTAGGTCACGTGACAGTGACAACATGGCAGAATGCAGAATACTAATCGTATTCAGACTTTACAGAACATACTTTTTTAACGGTTGTGAAGTAAGGTTCAAACCAAATGCAGTACCTACTAGAGAGAATGCAATTTCAGACACAGCTACGAATTTTCTTTGCACTCACTTGGACAGCCATCAATGTCATAGCAGTTGCCGTGTTGAATAATCTCTCCTTCACAGAAATTTCCCTCGTATTTTCTACCATCACAGTCCCTGTCTCTCCTTCGTTTTCCTTCCCTGTTTTTACAATTGATGTTTCTAGTGGAAGGTTGCTTACATTTTCCCCACTCACTCCATTCGGTCCACATTCCATCAACTGACAGAAAGAGAGAGAAAAATGTATTAAGTTAAAGGGTTAGTTCACCCAAAAATGAAAATTCTATCCACCCAAAACGTTCATAAAGGGAATATAAAATAATTCCATATGAATCTAAAGGTTTATCTTCTGAAGAGACATGATCGCTTTATTTGATGAGTAGATTTCATTTAGGCTTTTATTCACATATAAACATTGATCAGCGAATATAAACTATATATATATGTATATATATATATATATATATATGGATTTATTTTACGATTTTACAATCTTTTTACGAATGATGAGTTTTGGGTGAATAAACTTTGAATAGAGGGACAAAAATCTCAGATTTCATTAAAAATATCTTCATTTGAGTTTCAAAGATAGACAATAGTCTCATGGGTTTGGAACGACATGAAGGTGAGTAATAGATGACAGAATTTAGATTTTTGGGTGAACTATCCCTTTAAGAAATGAATTTGAATACCTGTATTATCACACATGCTTTTTTGTTCGTTTAGATCAATATTTCATTGTCACACCACTTACTTGGACAAGGGACATGAATGGTGCAGAGACCATCTTTTTGCTCTTCACCTCGACACTGTCTGCCACCATGTGTGGGTTTAGGAGAATCACACAACCGTCTTTGTATCTGCTGGCCCACTCCGCATGTCACAGAGCAGGGTGTGGTACCTGACCAAGGGCTCCAGTTTCCATCAACTGTGGAGTAGAGATATAAAGCTCTGGTTTCTACAATTCTCATCTTTTTGGCAGTTTTGTAGAAGAAAACAAAGTATATTACTTGGGCAGAAAGGTAGTCCGCTGCAAGGGCGGGTGTCTGTGTCAGAGCCCTCGCAGTCTCTGCCAAGTGGAAGCATGGATGGAGAGGGGTTGGTGCAAGTCCTAGTACGACGTTCTTTCTGAATGTTATGTCCTTCAACAATACAAGTAACTGGACAGGGACCCCAGCCTCCCCAACTGGACCACCCGCCATGAGCTAGACATTAAATGGCAGCATGTTTTTAATTTTTAGTATCTTCAGTAAGTAGAAAAAAGAAAACTATACTTACTCGGACAGATTATTTCAGTGTCGCAAGAGACGATTTCTTTCTCTTCACCGCTACAGGAGCCCCCACATTGTGGTAATGGGTTAGAGCAGGTTCTTTGCCTTGTTTTTAGTCCGTTTTTACAAGTGACTGAACATGGCTGCCATTTCCCCCACTCTGACCAGCCACCTTCCACTGGACAACACAAATTTAATTCCTTAATTATGAGAAAGCTCATAGAAGCCTTTATGTCTAAATGCAACAATTACTTAATGTTCTTTTTACCTGGGCAGCAGTTTTTTTTCACACATGGTTCAGTTTGAACAGTTCCTAGATTCTTAGGGTCTGAGCAATCACCATTTCCGTAACAAGAGCGTCGCCTTTGCCTTACTCCCTCTGTACAACTCACCGAGCACTCGCCCCAGGAAGACCACTGAGTCCATGTTGCTGGCCTGGAGGTCAACATACAAGACTCTTCTAAAGGATATGGGCATCATTTGATCTCATTCGTTTTAGTTCAGCTGATTCAGTAGCTTGAAGTGTTAGGTTAAAGTCCCCATTACATTTTATGGAATATTGCAGTAGCCTACCCGCCAGCGGTTTAAAAAAATATATAAACATGCAATTCTGAGAAATAAACTCACAATTGCGAATTATAAAGTCAGAATTGTGAGAAATAAACTCGCAATTCTGACTTTTTTTCTCAGAATTGCATGTTTATATCGCGCAATTCTGACTTTATAACACGCAAAAGTCTCCAAAATTGTTCCGTAAAAAGTGCATTAGCCTACGATTTAAAAAGGTTTCCTCAAAAAATAATATTAACATTGCATTATTTTAAGTCGCAATGAAACAGAAGTAGTGACAGATCTCTGCCGTATTGTGACGTACATTTTGTGACAGATTATCAAAAAATACTTGGTTGTCGGTCGGATTTTAAAATGCAAGCTTGCAGTTCATTGCGAATGGGCTGGGATTAAGTCAATTTAATGATACATAAGAAGTCTGTCATATTCACTGGAAGATCGAGTGACATTATGATTAACATCCAAAAAATAAAAATAAAAACAAATGAAACAGACATGGATGAACCGTTAACAATAAAATCTACATGCATTTACAAAATTGATAGGGTGAATTTTCATTTAATGTCAACTTTAATATTTATTTAGGCTAATATGAAAATGTATGCAACGTCACTTTCTTTGTGGAAACAAATGAACTAGTATAGGCTATATGAACAATGAACAAATGTGTTGGGAAATAGTTCTCCCATCTTAAAATCGTCATCTGGAGTTTTTCACTCGTTGAAGCTCAATGTGGCATTTATCATAATAGGATTTTGAACATGAACATCATAAGCATCAGATCAATGCAACTTACCCACAGGACCTACACACTCCATCTGCCTCTGTGTAGCCATAGTTAGGGTTCAGGCAACAGGAGTCTTTTTCAACCTGACCCAACAGACCATCACATTTCCCAGTGGACACCAAAAATGCTGAATAACACACTACCTGTGAAACTTCAGAAAGACACCAAATTAATGAATGACAATTAGGGTATAATACAACTTATTACACATATTGTCTGATATCTGTTATGGGACATATTTGTATTATATTCAAAGAATTAGCATGATTCAGCTGTTTCAGAGATTACATTTTGATTAAGATTCACAAACACAGTGAAGTTATACCAACTGAATTCAGTATTCGGTACAAAAAGTTTTTGAGGGAAAAATTAGTCAGCAAGCCATATCATTTCTTAATATTAATTTACATATTATTACATATTTATATATTGTCACAAAATTCTCCAAACCTGATTGCTGGACATAAATCCCAAGGAGCACAATCCCCCACAATATCAGATTCATGGCTGAATCTGTGTGACAGAAATTCTTGATTCTGAATGTGGAAAGTCTTGTAAATTGGATTTAATAAAGCCTGTGAGTAAAATACACTGGCTAATATGACTAGTCAAAGAAACTGCAAACAACAAATGTGGTAGTGGGTTTTGATTATTAGCGTTGATCAAGCCAATCATTAAAGGTTCTAATGTTAAGTTCATTCATGATAAATTCACGATTTTAACCACTTACCTCACACACTTCCCTTTCTTGTGGTAGTTAAGAGGCAGTAAAAGCGAGTGGTTTGTTTCGCCTTGCCTCAGTGACTTTCAAAAACCTTAGAGACCTGTTTACGAAAACAGGAATTATTAATTGTGAAACTGCTTAACCAGTTTCCCTTATTCGAGTATGATTTTGCAGATTCATCAGCATTTAACTGCTGTAAAAGAATTAAAGTAGTTTCAGTTCCACTTCCACCACCCTTTCAGCATTTCAGCGCAACTGTTGTGTAAAGTCACGTACGGTCAAAACGTTTCTCTGTTTCTTCAAATGTATCATAACCCCCACAAGGCCCACATGCATGCAGAGGCTATTTTGGCTAAAAGATAAATACTGAAATCAAGTTTGAATGCAAAATATAGGCTAGGCTACGAGGTGATCGGTCAAGAACTTAAGACCTCTGCAGACCTAAAAAAAAAAAAGCCCATTTACATTTATGATTATGTAGGCTAAATAGCAAATGTAAAAGATAATTAAAAAACATATTTAGTCGTTTGCCAAAACGTTATTTTTTTTAGCTTAGGCTATACTTCGGCCTCAAATACATATTTTCCACTCTAATAAAAGATATATAGCCTACACTTTAATGATAGCAAGGAACTAATTAGCCTATTTTGGGGAAGGCAGAAGTGCTACTTTTTCCTCAGTTTTCCTCTCGAAGTGCAGAGGAAGAAAGCACTTTTTTTTTTTTTTTATGTTTGAATGAATCAAGCACAACAAACCATCACAGCCACGCTCAAAATGAGAAGGAAAAAGGCTGCTATACCAAATGAAAGCTGAAAGTTTTTTTCTGAGCAGCATATTGTGCAAGCCATTTTCTGTATTTTTTTTATGCATTGTGAAATCATTTGTTTTCTTAGCGGTTATGCACTAAAATATCTACATAGGGTAGGCCTATGTGCCAAGTGAGATCTGGTAGCGCCACAAATTTCTGCCCCACTGCATGATATGGCGTTAAATATTTAAGCTAATTTGATTATGGTTTATGTAACCAGTACTAAGAAGCCTATAGCATATACAGGTCCTTCTAAAAAAATTAGCATATTGTGATAAAGTTCATTATTTTCCATAATGTAATGATAAAAATTAAACTTTCATATATTTTAGATTCATTGCACACCAACTGAAATATTTCAGGTCTTTTATTGTTTTAATACTGATGATTTTGGCATACAGCTCATGAAAACCCAAAATTCCTGTCTCAAAAAATTAGCATATCATGAAAAGGGTCTCTAAACGAGCTATTAACCTAATCATCTGAATCAACTAATTAACTCTAAACACCTGCAAAAGATTCCTGAGGCTTTTAACTTTAAACAATATGCTAATTTTTTAAGAAGGACCTGTATATATACTGGATATATATACTGGATATACACTCACCTAAAGGATTATTAGGAACACCTGTTCAATTTCTCATTAATGCAATTATCTAATCAACCACATGGCAGTTGCTTCAATGCATTTAGGGGTGTGGTCCTGGTCAAGACAATCTCCTGAACTCCAAACTGAATGTCAGAATGGGAAAGAAAGGTGATTTAAGCAATTTTGAGCGTGGCATGGTTGTTGGTGCCAGACGGGCCGGTCTGAGTATTTCACAATCTGCTCAGTTACTGGGATTTTCACGCACAATCATTTCTAGGGTTTACAAAGAATGGTGTGAAAAGGGAAAAACATCCAGTATGCGGCAGTCCTGTGGGCGAAAATGCCTTGTTGATGCTAGAGGTCAGAGGAGAATGGGCCGACTGATTCAAGCTGATAGAAGAGCAACTTTGACTGAAATAACCACTCGTTACAACCGAGGTATGCAGCAAAGCATTTGTGAAGCCACAAAACGCACAACCTTGAGGCGGATGGGCTACAACAGCAGAAGACCCCACTGGGTACCACTCATCTCCACTACAAATAGGAAAAACAGGCTACAATTTGCAAGAGCTCACCAAAATTGGACAGTTGAAGACTGGAAAAATGTTGCCTGGTCTGATGAGTCTCGATTTCTGTTGAGACATTCAGATGGTAGAGTCAGAATTTGGCGTAAACAGAATGAGAACATGGATCCATCATGCCTTGTTACCACTGTGCAGGCTGGTGGTGGTGTAATGGTGTGGGGGATGTTTTCTTGGCACACTTTAGGCCCCTTAGTGCCAATTGGGCATCGTTTAAATGCCATGGGCTACCTGAGCATTGTTTCTGACCATGTCCATCCCTTTATGGCCACCATGTACCCATCCTCTGATGGCTACTTCCAGCAGGATAATGCACCATGTCACAAAGCTCGAATCATTTCAAATTGATTTCTAGAACATGACAATGAGTTCACTGTACTAAAATGGCCCCCACAGTCACCAGACCTCAACCCAATAGAGCATCTTTGGGATGTGGTGGAACGGGAGCTTCGTGCCCTGGATGTGCATCCCACAAATCTCCATCAACTGCAAGATGCTATCCTATCAATATGGGCCAACATTTCTAAAGAATGCTTTCAGCACCTTGTTGAATCAATGCCACGTAGAATTAAGGCAGTTCAGAAGGCGAAAGGGGGTCAAACATTAGTATGGTTTTCCTAATAATCCTTTAGGTGAGTGTATAGGCTACTTCTGGATATATATATATATATATATGTGTGTGTGGGTGTGTGTATGTAGCCTATGTATGTATGACATACATGTATGCTTAGAACGAACATGGACATTCAGCTAACTCTTCTTGATGCACGATAATACCAAACCATCTCAAACCATCTGTTTGATCAACTCCTGTCTAATGGCCCCATCTACAGGAGCACTTTGGAACTCACAAAAGTCATTCAATTACGATAGTATTAATATTGAATTGAACTTACTTGTTGACTCATTACTCATAAAATACTGGCTAAATTTAATTAATCTTCATTAACATTTAACAACTTTTATTACAAATGGATTTTCCAGTAGTTGAGAGCACCATTTCAACCCTCGCAGTCGCAGGAAATAACATTTATGATTCATAGAGCGTTATTAATATTCATCTATCTCCTACTGGCTGAATCTAGCCACCTTGTATTACGTAACATTCACGCCATGCTTTTTCGTAGCTGTCAACCACACAAACCCCTGTAATACCCATAGACTGTAATACCTAGAAAGGAAAACATATTCTGAAACCAAAGTCCCCTGACTAAACCTCTTAGAATCGAGCTGTCATTGGACAAACACATATCACGTGATTAGGTCATATGTCAAAGGAAAATGTGTTGCACTCCCTCTGTGGTTGCACTCAAGCTGAAAAATCGTTTATAGAGGTGGATTTTTCTACGCGTATTTAGTTTATATAAATTACATTTTGAATAAGGTTGTACTAAATGTCAGTGGTCAAAAGAGGTCGATTATTTGATTTGCTCCTTATAGTGAGTGACCTCATGGACTACTTAGTACTTTGGGCCGAGGAGCGACCCCTGCAGGCATATTATATACACGCATCTTTTCTAGGTCATTTATTTCTGTCATCCCTGACAACCGAGTAATCAAAGTGAATGGAGTTACTAGACCAGATTGAGCAAAAGTGTAGGGATAACAGCGCGATGGTCATAGCTGTATCTGTATTCTGATTTGATTTTAGAAGAATGGATATAACAGAAATATGAAACGAAACGCCTGTTATTTTAATCTTAACCCTATTAATCGTAATTGTTTGACCAGGAGAAATTTGAAAGCGTGTACAACAAAATAAAAAAAACTAAACAAAAACATGTTAGCGTTAAGCTAGCTAGTGCTAACCTCAGACTAGCATGTGTGGAATAAGAGACACGGGGACACAGTGATGACAAAACTGATGTAAACCGACGGACTATGGGCTCATTTGAGTCTCAAAACAACTTAACTTCACGTAAGAAGAGGATATTTATATTTGATCGACTGTTGGGAAACTTCGAACCTGGCCCGTAAACACCAAGGTAAACCAAACCAGCTAACTTAGTTAGCCAAAACTCGCAGTTTTTCTTAAATAAAGTCTCGTGTGTTCTTTATCTGATTAACGTTACTAGCAAAGTATATGTGTCCATATCAGAATAAATGTATGTTGTAGTCTGTTAGCTAGTGGATGTCACCGTTTTGAAGTCATGATTCTGACTAAGGCAGATTTGGTGTGTCTGTCAGGCTGTATCTGGCTAACGTTAGATGCTTGGCTATTTTGTATGTGTCAACACACATTTGTTAAGGTTAATCAGGAGTGGGTTTCATGTAATTAACTGTATCTTGATTATTTTGAATTTTTACACGTGTATTATAACGTTACATGTAAGCTTTGCTGCCTCGGCCAAGCGTTGTTCATATTAACTTAACTTAGATTTAAACCGCTAACTATTAACATACAGTAAGCCCAGGAATGCATTAGTCAGCACATGCTACATAGAAAAAGGTTGTTTTTTGGGGTTTTTTTTACTAAAACGTTTTTGTTTGCAAATATTTTTAAAAAATGGTGACTGGCAAATTAAAGCTAACTAAGTTACATACTATCATAGGAAAATTAGCAATTGCTTGCAGTACGGATTTCTGGATCAAACTGACACCATCACTTTTAAGAGATTAAAAGAAGTTTTGAGGAAGCTTGTTGCATTGCTAAATGTTTATTATACTGCTTAGAATAAGTGAAAATTTCGTGTTTTTTCTATTTGAAAGGCTTTTTGTAGAAGTATGAAGTGTGACCTTACACAGAACACGGACTGCATACTTTCACTCTGATTACAAAGTTAAAGTTTTTACAAAATAGGTAAATATCTACTGTCTGGTCATGGTCAGCAGTTGTTTTGTACAAGTATATCTTGTCATAATGCATTTTGTGGTGCCTTGAGTTTTTTTTTTACCGTCCTTTTATTCTTAAGGCAAGACTTCATAGGTAAATAGAGTACAATTTTAACTAATAGATATCACCATACATCTTCAGTTGATTAATCACAGTACAAGACAATTGTTTTGTATTGTACGTTTTCTTAATTTTGTCTATGCAATCATTTCCATACATTTTCACAACAGAAGTCTGAACATTGGATTAAGCTTCAAAATGCGTTTAATTTTGTTAGAATAATAATGTTTTTTACATAGGGGAATTTAACTCTTTTTACCAGACATACAATCAGAAATACTGTCAGTAGTAAGAAAAAAAAAAAAAAACATTTTCACCATGTTTTTAGGAATAAAGTGATGTATAAATCAGGCGAATGATAAAAAACCTTCAGAATATAGATGGGAATAAAACTGAAGGTTTGTATGTAAGACAGTGCCACTGAAGTGGAGACTACTGGCTCAGTGAATTGAAATCTACAGATGCAAATTGATAAAGTGTGATAAAATAAACTCTTAAATTTGTATTTGAAATATTTTCTTTCCACTTGTCTAAAAGAAGGGATGTTATGGAAGCAAAATAGTCCAACATCTCAAAATCGAGCAGTGCATGGAAAAAATAACAATTTGGTTTTGCTTGTAGTGTCTTCCCTTAAAAGCAAAGCAGTTGAGAGATCCAGAGGCTGGTATGTGTGTCTGTCATAACCTCTGCACACTGACTCATTTAGTTCCTCTGTGTGGGTCGCCACTTGTTTGCAACCTTGGTAAAATGCAGATAAGCTGAAAACCAGAACGACAGGTTGCTGACAAGTCTGAACACTGGCTCAAAGCATTTCTGATTGCTTCATTTACTGTGCATCTTTAGAAGTTAACATAAAGCCTGCTCGTATATGGTGGTGCCTTTTTTTCCCAAGTCACCCAGTGTCGTTCAATAACAACTGAGATCTTATTAAATTGCTTTGTCTTTGTTTCGGACTAGTCACATCGATGTGGCTACTGCGTAATCCTCTTGTCAGAATCCACGGATTACAGTCTGTTTGGTAGTGGTTTCCATCCTCCGTATGACCCTCACTTCTGTTATCATTGTCTGCCTTGCTGAGTGCTAGACATGGACGTGACCTCATTCACCCGAAGTCGAATAGTTTTGTCCCTCATGTCATTCCAAACCTGTATGACTGACTTTCTTCTGTGGGGAGTTTCTTTTGTCCATACAATGAAAGTCAATGGGGTTCAATGTTGTTTGAACTCCATTTTGTGTGTGTGTGTGTGTGTGCGTTCCCCAGAAGGTTTGGAAGGAGATGAGGGTGAGTAAATGATGACAGGGCTTTCATTTTTAGGTGTACTATGCCTTTTAAGACATTTTATTACTTGCTAAGTAGAGTACACTGTCAATCAGAAGCAACACAGTTTATCTTGACCTTTGTATATTGACTGATTTTTTTTATTCTGTTTGCTCATGCAAATAGGTCTTTCTCCATTGATACGCCATTCTCATTCGGTCACTTGATTATACAAGTTTTGAACAACCACAATTTTTTTGCGAGCTCTTTTTATATTTGTCATAACATCTTCCCACAGGAGCTTTCTTTGCAAGGTTATCTTATCTTTTTAAGTAAACAACCTAGCAGAGTCTCATATGGATTTATCACCTCTCACTCTATGTAGACTAAATATACCACAGACCTGTAATTGCTGACTGCACAGTTTGCGACTGCGTCCGACTGCTTCAAAAAGATAAAGGTCATGTAATCGGAATGGGTGAATGAATGAAAGGCCAGGTAGTTAAGACAAAAGCTGCTTTCTTTTTTTCTATGTTTATGGATGAACTTTTCCTGAAAAGGTTTGAGCCAGCCCTAAAACAGTAACAGCAACAGTAACCGCCCACTTTTTCAGTGGCCTTGGTTATGCATTTTCCCATGAATTTGTTTCCATATGCATTTAAAAAAGCTCAATGCCATGAACCAAACCAACCAACAATGAGATAACAAATTAAAACTTAGATTTGAAGCAAAAATAATTAAATTAAATTAAAGGTAATTACAAGTCTTTTATGAGGGTGTGAACTACTCATTAAAGCACTGCAAATACTGTAGTTATAGTCATATAAGCTACAATTCAAAAGTTCTGGGCTCAGTAAGGTTTTTAAAATAATTTATTTTTATTGAATGTGTCTCTCACCATGGTTGCGTATTTGATCCAAAACACATTATAAACAGCAATGTTGTGAAATTGTATTGCAATTTAAAAATTTCAAATGTGATTTATTCCTGTAATGGCAAATCTGAATTTTCAGTCTTCAGTGTCACATGATCCTTTGGAAATCATTCTAATATTCTGATTTGGTGCTTAGAACATTTCTTCTTATTATAAATGTTAATATTTTATATTTCTGCTTAAAATTTGTGTGTAGACTGACCCCAAACTTTGGAACGGTAGTGTGTCACCATATGACATCAGCTTCTGATTGGTGGATCTCATGTATGTTTGTTTGTTTAGTTTATTGTTAAAAATCAATGTCTCTGCGGTGAAAATTAATGAGATTTGTACTTCCAGAACCCTACTTTTGCAGTTTATGTTTTGAAATATCAGACCCTGCAATCAGATTTTAAGAAATAAATTGGGTTTCTCTTCCAGTGTGAACAAAGCCTTGCTGTGCTTGATATTGATGCTGTCATTCATTTTTGTCTTTAATTTTATTTTTGAGTCAGCAGAGAGGTGATGGGTGTTGGGTGGAGTCAGGAAATGACACTAGCAGTATTGGATCTCAGGTCAAACTCAGGTCACCTGCACAGTCTCTGGAGCATGTGCACTACACTCTAGGTCACTTCTCCAACTGTGATGGTCTTATTCTGATACGGTGTTGTTGTATTGAGGCACTGTGGCAATAATTGACCTCCCTTTTCCTGTCTTCTGTCTTTGCAGAGGCAATGTCACTTGATGGATGGTTATGAGATTTAGCAGCCAGACGGGAGAACCATGGAACAGGTTGAGCAACCTACCTCAGAAATGAAATGTGATGGCCCAGTAGATGGAGTCACGAAGGGCCAGTCGTCTCCACGGACAGATTTGAAGTCTGTCCCGATTCTTGAAGAAACGATATGGAAGGCAGTCCAGGAGGGTCAGTCTGCATCCTCGGACTGTGGAGAGATGTCAGACCTACAGGAGCCGGGCTCAGCTTCGGGTGAGGAGGTTGAAGGCAGCGAGACGTCAGATGCCACAGGATTAGCGGTCTCGCCCAGCAGCAAGGGATCATGGGGCGCGAATCTACAGAATGGAAACGGAACGCCGCAGGAGAGTCCTCAACAGAATAGTGACACTTCTGTAACAGGTAAAAACCCATCTTGTGGGTTTGCTGCAAATAGCTCTTTTTTATAGTTTCATCTGACCATAGAACACAGTCCTGTTTGAAATTCCAGTAGTGTCTGACAACTGAATATGCTGGAGTTTGTTTTTGGATGAGAGCAGAGGATTTTTCTGGAAACCCTCCAAAACAACTTGTGGGTATGTAGGTGCTGTTAGATATTTTTTTGAGGCTTTCTGACCCCAAGACTTAAGTATTCTCTGCAATTCTCCAGCTGTGATCCTTGGAGAATCTTTGGCCACTCGAACTATCGTGCATTAAGACAATAATATAGACACGCGTCCTCTTCCTGGCAGATTTGTAATATCTTAAGTTGATTGGAACTTCTTAATTATTGCCCTGATGGTGGAAATGGGAATTTTCAATGCTTTAACATTTTTTTTTTTTACTGCTACTGTCTTTGTTTTGTGAAGCTGTGCATCAGACCTTCGTTCTTTGGTTTTATTTTCTTCAATTTCAATCGTTTTACTACAACGAAAGGTTCGTTTTTTTGTGAATTGTTTTAAATGTAAAATCAAAGGATAAACAATGCAGATTTATTTCCATAGCCATCTTTGCTCATATTTACCAAGGATGCCGATAATTCTGACCATGACTGTAAATTCATGTTGTAGTGACAATGACCTTCTTGTCACTTAGAGGTGTTGTAGGATTCACGCAGAAGTATGAATGAAAACCAACGCTTTGCCTACAGCGTAGAGGCTCCGGCGTAGGTCAGACACAGAAGTATAAATCAGCCTTTAATCTCTGGCTACTATTATACCTATTAAACTCCACCCAGTGTCCAACAGTGGAACTATAATGGCTCTTACACATGTATTAATTGTATATTTAAAGGTATTGTAGGTAGGAATTTTATAAAAAAAACGTTTTTCCACATTTGTTTAAACTTTCTATATATATCAATGCATAATTAAAATGTAAGTACTCTGATAAAAAGAGTATAAAAATCGAGTGACTCTAGACCGTTTAATCTGCACTAAACACAGCTCATTATTTCCATCCGGGACGAAACAAAGGATTTGCTTAGGCGACTGTCACTCTCTCGCAACCATGGCAACCACCCTTTTGCCACACAGGACCTGCCCACTTGCGCGTACCCGTTTGATTTGAGGAATTCAAGAGGCACGGAACCTAGGAATAGCAAAACAATGGCAGAGAAAGACCAATCAAAATTCACATATGCAGTTCGCGAAGGCAAACCAGCCAAAAAAAGGAAGACCGTAAGGTTACTAGAAAAGGTAATGAACAAAAAGTCTTTGGATAAACAACGATTTATCTGTCCTCGAGCTGACGATGCGGTACTTGTCTCTGGAGAGTGATAATCAGATAGTCCTCATCAGAGTCAACAATGCTTTCATGATGGAAACTCTTAAATGCAGAACACCATATATGTTATGAATCTTACACGAAATTCATCTTCATCACAGTGTAAATGATGGCAATGGAAAAATGTGTATCATGCAAACTGTTTTTAGCTTTGCCTTATAGATAACTAGCTCGTTAGCGAATCAATAAATATATATTTTAAACTTTACCAATATCAATATGCTAGCTTGATAGTGAGTACAAAAATACATCTTATTTGTTTTTCATAATGTTAAAGTTAGATTTTTTTATTACATGTGATTCTGACATGATGTCACTACATGCACTGCGCTCCTTCCTCTCCGCTCGTCTCAGGTAAATAATGCGTCTTCAGCTCAGCGGTCGGAGTTGTGTTTTGGGGGCGTGGCTTTGGAAGGAGCCCAGAAGGGAGGGGGTGGAGTGAATGGAAATAATGAGCTGTCTTTAAAACAGTCGTGAGAGGTCTACAGACACTCGATTTTTATACTTTCTTTTTCAGAGTACTTACATTTTAATTATGCATTGATATATACAGAAAGTTTAAACAAATTTGGAAAAGAGTTTTTTTTTATAAAAATCCTACCTACAATACCTTTAAATATATATATTTTTAATGCTTTTACATTATACACAATATATTTTTATGACTTAGATTTTTAACTTGCTTTCATCCTTGATCGAAACTCAACAAAGAGAAATTAGTAGGAGATTAAAATCAATAGAAGTACTTCAAAAATTGCAAATGTATTGTTTTATCTATAAAATGCCAAATTATCGGGATTTGTGATGTATAAAATATGGTATAGAATTTTCTTTCTTTCTTGCATTTCAATAGACAATTTGACTGATTTATGGCAGATTATACAATAATGAATAGTTCATGTTTTATAGTTTACATTTTTTTTTTTTTTTTTATAAAACATATACTTTTGTAATGCTCTCATAAGAGATGCTTTAAGTAGTTTCTCTCTGTTTCTCTCTCACTTTTATAGATCCATTACAGGCACCCTCTCTCTCGTTGTCAGACCAGTTACGGCTGGGTCGAGATGACCCCAGTAGTTTGGGGCTGAACGTTGAGTGCCGCATATGTGGAGATAAAGCCTCAGGATTTCATTATGGAGTTCATGCTTGTGAAGGCTGCAAGGTAATTTTCCTGAAATTTTGCAACTACTGCAGTCAAGCTTTTTCCCAAACCGTGGGAGCATTTATGGCCTAAAATAGACCATCATCTAGTATAAACCAACACTAAAGGTACCGTAAGCAATAGGCCTACTACCTGACATATATCACTGAAATAGATATCCTGAGAAATAACACCTGTCTCTGTGACAGCCCAAGGCTCTGTAAACAGCCAATACAATTTTTTTAATCATTCAGAAATCCAGTCTGCATGATGTGATTTCACTGACATAACTTGGAGGGAGGCAGGGTGTGTGTTTGAAGGGACGAGCCATCTAATTGAAGTCTAAAATCTTTTTCAGCATCTTTAAAGGGGTCATGTATAGTGCCATTTTCATACAAGTTAATTTGATTCTTTAGGGTCTAAATTAAAAGTTTGTAAAAATTCTCATTAGTATTGTAAGAAAACACTCATTTTACCTCGTCAAAAACAGCTCTGTTTTCAGCACGTCGTTTAAGTGCATGTGTCTTTAAATGATAATGATAAATGGACTGCATTTATATAGCACTTTCACAGACCCAATGCCCACCAACGCGCTTTACATTTTGCCTCACATTCACCCATTCACTCACTCATTCATTCATACACCGACGGCGGTGTCAGCCATGCAAGGCTCCATCCAGGTGTCATTAGGTGTCTTGCTCATGGACACCTCGACACTTGGTCAGGTGGAACTAGGGATTGAACCACCAACCTTCCGGTTTGTTGTCAACCTACATGAACCACTGAGCCACTGCCGCCCCTAATGAGCTACGTTCTGTTCTGTGGGCCGTTTTGACACAACGCACGTGGAGTGTTGCCTTGACAACGGTTGAGGGTATATTTTGGAGAAAGAATGGCAGCGGGAGTCTCTGAGGACACATCTGTGCAATCGTATCAGTTTGAACCGGAGTCGGACCCGGAACAAGATGACGGCCGCAAAGAAGTTCCACAATTAAGGCTCGAACAGGACGTTTCTGAATGGGTGGTTAACGTAATGTCACTTTGATCTATCTTTGTATGTACTGGCAGGGTAGAGTAGTGAGATACGAACACTTTGTGTTTACTGATGTATACGTACACAGTTTGTAATAACACAATAACCAATGAACCGCGTTGTTCATTATAAATGTGGGATTATGAATTATATTGAGAACGCCGTACATAGAAAACATGCCGTAATGTACCCTGAGTGTAAACCTTAGCCGCATTCATCGTGAAGCGTGGAAGCGATTTGCAAAGATTAATATAAAGGTTAATAAAACTTTACACTCACTTGTTCTGGAGGTGCAGCAGGGACACGAATAGTTGGTACCGATTATATTTTCAGGAGCAGCTTCTTAGCAAAACCAGCTTATACTGACCCTCGTTTATAAAGCAGTCTGGTGAGAAAAGATTCGCGAATCGCGCAAACATGAAAGCATTGACGTTGCTCGTGGGGAATATTCCCTTCGAAAACAAAACTCAGCCACTGCGTCTTCAGCGTTTCGGATTTAGGAACATCAAAATGACTCTGTTCGTTATTACACCCAAGAACAGAACACCACAATCGCTTAGACACCATTCTGCTCTAGCGTATCATCAATGATGACAGCTCGCTCAGGGCGGGTCTGTGTTGAAACGCTGCTGTCAATCAACAATCGTTGGAGGGGCGTCCGACTGTGTGACGTCACACGGTCGAATGGCTCGATTTGAGACGGGAAAACATATAAGGAGATAAAAAACACTGGATGGATTTTTATCATTATATGATGTGTGTGTGTTCATCAATGTGTTTATCAATGTGTGTATGGCACTGCCAACACACATTTCAGTACAGTCAACTTGAAAAAGTGCATGTGCCATTATATGACCCCTTTAATAAAACCACTCTGTTTCCTTACCTTAAGTCACTGGGCTTCCTAATGCTCAGTTGCATTTCCATAGTGAAATAATTCAGCAATACAAGCACATGTGTGCCTTGCTGTTTTTCAGTGAGTCATCTTTTTTTTTTTTTAGGGGTTTTTCAGACGCACCATTCGTATGAAGCTGGAGTATGAGCGCTGTGAGCGTGCCTGTAAAGTCCTGAAAAAGAGCCGGAACAAATGCCAGTACTGTCGCTTCCAGAAATGCCTGGCATTGGGCATGTCCCACGATGGTGAGAAGCCTACATGCTTTAAAGCATTAGGAATTTTACTGCTCATTTTACATTCACTTAAAAAGTACAAACTGCTTATTAATAGTCATGCTCAGCAGTTACATTTTTGGTGTACATAAATTGCTTATTGAATATATGCTGAGCTTGTTTTTGTTTCTTTGTCTCAGCAATCAGGTACGGACGTATGCCAGAGGCAGAGAAGAAGAAGCTAGTGGCAGGGCTCCTCGCCGGGGAGAACCTGAAAAGCTCTAGTGGGGCTGACCTCAAAACACTGGCTAAGCACGTCAACACAGCCTACCTGAAAAACCTCAACATGACCAAGAAGAAAGCACGAAGCATCCTCACGGGCAAGACGAGCTGCACAGCGGTATGCACTCAGCTTTTAGTAAGATGCCACCAACATTCTCAGTTTATTTTAGCAATGATGCCCTGATATTAAAATTCTGGCCAATATTTATTTACCGTAGATGTTATTGTTGTTTGTTTTGTATTTTACACAAAAGGCATTTTAGTTCTTTTTAATTGTGTTCTCATTTCATCTCCAGCCTTTTGTGATCCATGATATGGACTCACTGTGGCAGGCAGAAAACGGGCTGGTCTGGAATCAGCTTAACGGAGCACCACCCAACAAAGAGATTGGGGTCCATGTCTTCTACCGCTGCCAGTGCACCACAGTGGAAACTGTGCGAGAGCTAACAGAGTTTGCCAAAAACATCCCTGGCTTTGTGGATCTCTTCCTAAATGATCAGGTGAGAACCATCCATGTTACCTATTTAACTTATAATTGGTTAAATCTTTTGTTTAAAGAGGACCTATTATGCAATACTCACTTTTATTTGAAGATAATTATGTCTGCATTGTGTACACATCCACCCTATTGTAAAAATCCTTCCACTCCGTTCTTATTTAAATATTCTTATTAAAGCTTCTGAAGTTTTTTAATCAAGAGGAGTGAGGGATTTTCAGTTTTTCTTTTGTTGTTTGATTCATATTAACAGCATATATAGCGGTAGGTACTGTATATTACGCTGCTGTCACTTTAATACACAAATCTATGAGACACATGCGATTTTCTTTCCCTGCAGTTTACGTTCACAGACATAGCTAACTGTGTTTGTTTTTGACATAACCTTGTGTGTTTAAGTGCTATAAGAGTGAAAGAAAACTTTGTTTAATACCAGAGACTATTTATATAGAGACATGCCACTTCATCAATCCTTAATACAACTATATAGGGAAAACCCGTAACGCCAAAGATGGCGGTTGTATGCACATGTCCCGCCCCTCCCGCTGGAAAGCCAATCGTCTGCTTTTAACAGTCAAGCCGGGAAACATTTAAGCCTATCGTCTGGTTCCACTGACGCATGCGCACAGTTGAGGTTTGCGACAGCGCAAAATACGTTACTGTTTGAAAAGGCGGCAGATTTGATATGCAGTGTATGTGTGAGTTGTGTAAATATCAGACATCAGAAGTCTCCCGCAGATTGATAGCGGCTCCCTGATGCCCGCAAATTATTTCAAATCTCCCGGAATCTAGAGCGAGCGAGCAAGAGCTCGCACATACTGTGCTTCAAACTGTGTAGCGCGCGCACGACCGAGGGAGAGAACCCTTGCGCATGCGTAGTAAAAGTATAACCTGTGGGGAAAAAGGCCTTTTAAACCTTATTTTGGGGCAAAGTCATCAAACTTTTTCAGTGATTTTTATCATATTTTACTGCTGTTTCTATACATGCAGTTTTTATGTCCCAGTGACCAGTGAAAGTGCAGTTCTGACTCTCTGCCCATTCATTTAGATAGGAGCCTGGTCTTGTTAGTCCGAAATAGCTGCCCGAGCTGCCCGCGCTGACAGCCAGCTTTCTGGGTGTGTGCGCTCAGAAAACCATATATCAGAAGTTTAAACTGATAGAGCTTTAAAACGCATACAAATAATACATTTCATGATGACGAAGAACTGCAGTCTCACATGAGCGTGATCCGATAGAGATGATAATCAAAACCAAACAGATCTTTTATTTAATATCTGAGGCACGCGCTGTAAAGGCTCAGCACTGTTCTGGATAGGGGCCGGGGAGCAGCAAGCTTAGTTGCATTTAAAGATACATGCATGAAAACAGTGTGTTTTGCTTCAAAAATGGGCATTTACAACATGGTATAATAAATGATCTGTGGGGTATTTTGAGCTCACATTCTGGGGACACCTGAGACTTAATAGGTCCCCTTTAATGTTTATTAGTTTTGAGTAGTGACTAGTGATGTTTGTGGCTCCTTAGAAGCAATTACTTGTTTCCCCTCGTTTGTAGTTAAATGTAATTATTAAAAAAATCCAGCTAAATGAATAAATATAAACATTATATATTGGATATTTATTAGTTGCTGATAATATGTCATACATGAATTAAAGGGATAGTTTACTCAAAAATGAAAATTATACACCCTCAAGCCATCCAAGGATCTTTTTTCAGACGAACACAATTGGAGATATATTTAAGAAATATCCTGGCTCTTCTAAGCTTTATAATGGGAGCAAATGGGGGGTGAGATTTTGAAGCCCAAAAAACTGCACCCATCCATCATAAAAGTAATCCATACGGCTCCAGGGGGTAAATAAAGGCCTTCTGAAGTGAAGTGATGCGTTTGTGTATGAAAAAAAAAAATCCATATTCAACTTTTAACAGCTATAATAACAATTTTTTTTTATCTTTTGCAATTTGATGAGGACACTAAGCCTTAATGCGGTTTCAATTTTAGTTTGTTTGACAGCAATGACGCAAAACACAACGTTAAAGACATTTTATGTTATTATTAGAAGTTTAAATATGTTTTGGGCCGCCACAGTCTAGTTAATGAATGGGAAGCACTGAAATCTATTTGTGGAGGTCAATGTTGATATTGTGACGAGCCGCCACTAAAAAAAAACACTGACTTATAATAGGCTTACCATAGTGAATCAGGGTAAGACAAATACACAGAAGAAGGATTTTGAAGTATTGACTCATTTAAATTTTGGTTATTTTAAACAAAAAAAGTTACATATTGTACCTTTTAAGTATTAATGCATACTCTTCCACTAAATTCATCTCACACCTTTTCAGGTAACATTGATACTGGTTGGTTAACTCTGGTACTCTTTCAGGTAACACTGTTAAAATATGGAGTCCATGAGTCCATATTTGCGATGCTCCCATCTCTCATGAACAAAGACGGGCTGCTGGTGGCCAATGGGAAGGGCTTCGTGACGAGAGAGTTCCTGCGTAGTCTACGCAAACCTTTCAGTGAGATCATGGAGCCCAAGTTTGAGTTTGCGGTGAAATTCAATGCCCTGGAGCTGGATGACAGTGACCTGGCTCTGTTTGTGGCAGCCATCATACTGTGCGGAGGTAAGGCCATGCTGTTTGATTGATCAGCATGTTTTCTTATGTCCTTTGTTGTTATTTATACAATTTACATCCACATCTGAATTTGTTATGGGCTAATGTCAGTGAAATGAAAACACAACAAAGAGATTAAAAGCTTGTTTATCATAACAGGGAAAAATAGCTAAAGGAGAAAATAGCTAAAAAGGGTCTTTCTTTGCTCTAGATCGTCCTGGGCTGATGAACGTGAAGCAGGTAGAACAGATTCAGGATCGTGTCCTGCAAGCTCTGGACCAACATCTTCAGGTGCACCACCCTGACTCTTCTCATCTCTTCCCCAAACTGCTCCAGAAGATGGCCGACCTCAGACAGCTGGTCACAGAGAACGCCCAGCTGGTTCAGATGATCAAAAAGACTGAATCTGAGACGTCCCTTCACCCGCTTTTACAGGAGATCTATAAAGACATGTACTGAGCTCACAGACTCAAGGACCTGACTACAGATTGCTCTTCAACTTCCCTCCTGAACGGAGAGAGTGCACACACCTTTATGGCGCTGAGGTGCCATTGGGTTTTTTTAAATGAATTTTTTGTAAAGGACTTTTACAAATATTGACTTTGAATACTGACATTTTCTCTGATTTTGTGGAGTGTTTTTTATTTAAACTCAAATCTGTTCTTATAGGCCTATACAGGACGCAGAACATCTAGTCATTGTTTACTACTACTACTGGCTTCATGTCATTCTTCATGTGCTTAATGAGGCTAACACCTTTAGAAGTTGTCTTTTCCATTATGGGTTTGGTTTGCAAGTACATTTAAGTAATATTATCTAGTATGTTTCTTTAAGGGAGATCAGAGCGCAATCAAGCCCTTGAAATGCCACTTACTGTATGCGTTTAACTTTGTATGGCTTTTATTTTTGTGATTGTCCTTGCCCACCTGATTCTGTTTGATTTGGCGCTTTTACTAAAGTAAAAGGTACTCCACACAACTGTACAGCAGTCAGGTATATTATTTTGGAATTATGTTACTTTGTTGAGGATGTTGTTTTCAGCGTCAGCTGCTACAAATATATATTGGTATTGAAACTGAAGACAAATCTATGTTTAATAATTTACTTTAATTCTTTGGTATAAACCTACAACAGTGTGATCATTTCGGTTGTATGGAAGGAAATGTTTTTTCACTTTGTTCATCATATACATGTGTATATATATAAAATTATTAAGTGCTGATCCCTTTAAGCACTGGTACCTTGATGGTACTTATATTTTTGCATACTGTCCAGTAACGGTCGTATTTCATTAGGTCTTATTTACCGAATTGAGACACGACTTCAATTATCTTTAATTTCTCCTTGATACACAGTTGTATTAAATTAGGTCTTCCATATTGATTGAAAATGTTTTATGATTATATATTGTGTGATTGAAAACAAACAAGCAGGCTGTGGTTACATTAAGGTCTAGAACATTATGGTCAAATTGGTTTATACTACTCATAAACTTAAATTTATTCTCTAAATCAGCATTAATTAGTTAATGATCATGTCATGATAGTTATATGTACATTGCAAATGAATGGTTTTATTGAGTCAGTTTGAGGAAAACTTGTGTTGTATACTTTATTGAAGTAAGTTGGACGCTTGTGAGTTTAGAACAGGTCCTTTCACAAACAATGCTGAATAATTTGGAAGTTCAGTGTACACGTTAAAAAAGCAGTTTTAATGTTAAATTAACATTAATTGGCAGTAATATGATGTGCAACACATCTGCCGTTTCACATCCGTATCTCAGAAATATCTGAAATTGTATCTTATGGCTGAAATTTGCTTTTCTGATCTGTTTATTCGAGATGGAACTTGATGTCAGAGATATATGGTCGTGTAGAAACATGTTACTGTGAAACTAGAGCACAAAAATATGAAACATTTTTTTCCCCCCTTCTTATTCTTAAAATACATTTTGTCACCCAGTTTCACATCAGACATCGGCCAATATCTTTCTATCTTTCTGGTCTGATCTGATCTGTCTCAGAAATGTTTTGCTTTATTAACAAGATCAGACATAATGCACAAGTGTTATTGTTTGTGTAATATTATTTTGGATCAAAGTAAAACAATTCCTGACATCACTAAGTTACTTGTGATTTATGAAAAGCTTTAGATATACCAATATTTCACTAATTAATGTTAGTTTAACCTTTAATTTATGGATTATTAAACATTTAATGAGAAACAATTGGTGTCAATGAATAATCCTTTAATTAGAGACCAAATGTCCCATTTTATTCGGTACAATCTTATATTTTACAATTTACTTTCTTTACGTACATAGGCCTACTGCAAGGCATCGTAACGAATCGTTTTTTTTTATTAATCGATTCAACCACTTCATAAACGGGTTTGAACTACTGAATAGTGGTATCACTCTGAATGATTCGGACTGAATCGGTCCTTGCGGTACTCGAGTGATATTGAACTGAGAACCGACTTACCAGAGCTGAGATATATAGAATTATGTATAAGCTATATAAAATTTGAATTATATCCATAATAAAAGTTAATAGGAAAAAGTATCTCGTGCGTGATGTCGCTCAATTGACTTTCTGAACCCTTGCTGTTTAAATGGAATTGATTCGGACCATCACTAAAGCATCACGTTTGAGATGCGTCCCTGTCCATCACACGTCCAAATGGGAAGGCCCCGCCCAACAATTATAAAAGTGTGTATGTCATTAGCTATTCATCAGACAAAGAGGGACAGGCGCAAGATGGAAAGCGACGCACAATCATCCAAGGGCTCAGGAAACAACAGTGCAGTTTGTAGGTGGGTATATTCATCAGCCCCAAGTATTTGCACTAGTGTGCAGATCTGTGGTATGGTTTGCTACAGTACCTCCATGCAAACAATTATAATAAAAATATATCAAGAAAAAAAAATGCAATACTAATTGTTAATTTAAATTTGAATGAATTCTGAGATCAAGCCTCATTTGTTTAAATGTCAGCTGGCGAAGTCGGGGTTTTTTCTTTTTCTTTTTTTCTATAGAAAAGACACGGACGTCCCTGGTTGGCCAGCGCGCGTTCTGCGTGACGTGGGTCTCCTGCGCTTCACTCTCGCCAACTCTTCTATCCGTTTACTCGCTCCGACAACTGAATAAATCAGTTTTTGTAGGCTTTAAAAATGGATCGGTATCGCATACCTTATAGACATTTGAGAAAAAACAGCTCAAATGTCGAAAGAGAAGTTTGCAGGTAGTTTTGTGGTTTAGACTGGATGAAAAGTTCGTTTTTAGCTCCGATCATCTGTTTGAAAGAGTGACTTTTCCTGCTTTAACGTTTCTCGGCGCTGATGTTTACATCCGGTTAAGGCAGCGAGCGATTTAACTTCTAGTAGAAAGAGTAGTTCTGTTACAAACTATTACAAATATACTTTTGTACTGACACGTAGAAGGAAAGAGACCGTTGTAAGATTTAAGTTAACGTTACTGAACGTGTAAAGACCAACAGTTGAGTTTACGTTTAGTGCCGTAGTCAATAACAACACGAACGATCGAGGGCTCAAAACGACTCCATTGTTTCCCCTTTTGCTTTTTTAATTAAATGCTGCTGCTTTTCGAGAATTTGTGAAACATGTGTGCTGCAGTTGTCAACAAATGTTGTGTTTTGCAGGCAGTTCATCAATGGATCTTGTCGCTATGGTCCGAGCTGTTACTATCTCCACGAGTTTCCTACAGTACCGTCATTCCAGGTTCATTGTAGGTACTTCCAGAAAGGTGGCTGCTGGTTTGGTGATCGATGCAGGTAAGCAGCCAGCTGGCCTTTTTTCATATACTGTATATAAGAACAGCAGGATACAAGTTTCATCCTTCAAATTGCAGGTATCTCCATGTTCCGCAAGGGGGTGAGGGCTCTTCAGGGAGCAACAGACGTGGTTCAGCTCCTGCCGTTTTCCCCTCTGCGCTCGCAGGCCGTTCTCTGCCTTATCGCCGGGGATCTGAGCCCTTTCTTCCTCCTCAAGGAGCCTACAGCCTGAATCGGAGGGGTTCTGAGCCCCTGGTCACAAGTATGAGTGTGCTGCAGCAGAATTTTGAACGCTTGACCACAGGAATTGCTGAGGAGGAAGAGTTCGGGGCTGTGGAGGATGTACCTCACTGGCAGGGTATTACTGTTTATCCAGGTGTTTCTTTGAAATTGCACATCACATTTTCCTTGTATGGTTTTAATTATGTTGTCCTCTTCAGGTGCATCGAGACCGCTGCAACAAAACGGTGCTAGTGCTACACACTCCATTTCTTCACATAACAGCTCAGCTGCCTTTGTTCCTGGTGCAGCACCTGCTGAAGTCCAAAAAGTAATCATATCTAAAGCTAAAACACAGGTCACCAAGCCGATGCATTTCCTGGAGCTCGTAGACAATGCTTTTTGGGTTTCATTAGGCTGGGTTTAATGAAGTGTTATTGGATTATAGGTGACCAGTTCAACTTTGCCAGAGAGACCAGATCAGGGTGGTGCTGCAGTTTCAATGGAGCAGCGACATTCAGGGGATGTGGCTTGTGGCATCTGCATGGACAAGATTTCTGAGAAGACCACCGCTCAGGAACGGCGTTATGGCATCCTACCCAACTGCAATCATGCTTTCTGCATCAGCTGCATCGTTACCTGGAGAAAAACGAAGGACTTCCAGGAGGATGTCATCAAGTTAGTTTAGTCTCACTCCCATTCTCCCTTTTTCTTGTATATGTAGATTAACTAAATGTTTTATATAAATAACAGGGGCTGCCCACAATGCAGAGTGAAATCCTCCTTTTACGTTCCCAGCAAGCACTGGGTCTGTGATGAGGAGGAAAAGGCATCGTTGATAGCCTCTTTCAAAGAAAGAAGCAGGTTCGAATGGTTCACATTCATGCTGTCAAGTCTTCTGTAATGGTTTATTTGGCCCTTTACATTGATTCTGGAATTCTGTTCATCTCTAGCAAATTAAAGTGCACTTTCTTCATGCGTCACGGATGCTGCCCCTTTAAAACGGAGTGCATCTACAGTCATGACATGCCGCCTAATCACATCCACCGTCGCAGGCGCTCGACACCCAGGGTAACTGTCTTTTTAATTTATGGAAAAATGTCTGCTATGCTGTCTTGCCGTGCTATATTGAACATCAGTTAGTCATTTTATTCTGTTTTTAGGACACAGCTGATATGTTGGAGGATTTGGGGATTGATGGCCTCCAAATTTGGAGCTACATTTTTGCCCTAACTCTGTTGGATGAAGATGATGATGACTTTCTGGATTTTCTTGATGACTAAGGACCTTCTAGAGTCATGTATATGTTGGCTCAGCCTTGAGTGAGCTCTACTTATCTTCTGCACTGAAACGTAATTGTCCCTTTTTAGGGTTGGTTTCACTTTAGCTACCCCTACATGTTTGGCTAATTGTTTAGCCGTGTAGACTTAGTATGTGTGTTTCTGTATGAGTGTGAAAGTCTTTTGCCTTTAGTTTAAGGAGGTTGGTGAAAAGGTTTGAATGCTCAGATCTCACATTGAGTCTGTATCTTCAGGTTTAGTTGGGGAAGGGACTATGGCAAAAAAGTTGAGGAAAAAAGTTAAAATTGAACGCATGGTCACTTATTTCAGCTAGCTTTTTCACTTGTTGATCTAATACTTCATCTGTGCTGCTTCCGGATTTCCGCACCCTCTTTGTTTGATACCTTTTGTATGAAATCAGATTTTAATATTTTGTGTACTTCCTAGTTTATATTATTGCCAGTATTCTTCCAAACACTAAGTGTGCAACCTGTCAGCAGGCTTCTGATGTACTGTTCTCTTCAGCAGTGTTAACAGGTTATACCAAGTCTTGATGTCATATTTTATGACTTTTAGTACATGTTTGTATTCATTCAAAGAAAAGTGAAAATAAAAAATTGTTCCACTGTTTGCCTCACTTGATCCTCTCCTTTTTTTTTGTGTGCTGCCAGTCATGTAGCAACGAAGGTGGGAGGACACATTAGACTGGTTTTAACCTGTATTCTAACAACTCCATTTTTAAACGGTTAAGATTGTGCACCTTGACAAATGGTATCAGTTTTGCTTTCATTGAGAATTGAAGTCCTTGCTTTATTGTAATTCACCTCCAAACCTACAGGTGTCGCCAGTGTACAATAAGTGCTTGTTTAGAGCCACAAAGAACTCATTCGAAACATTTTACACATTAGTGGCTGCATGAGCTTTCAGCAGTGTTATGATCCACCATTGTTTAAAACTAGTTTGTACCATATGTTTCTGCTGTATCTGGGACCGCTACGACTTTAGTTTTAAAAATGATAGTAGCAAGCTTCGTCGGTGACGTGTGATTAAGTCCAGTGATGGATCTGAAAGCTCTAATGCGGCGTTTTGACGGACGGTCCCGGTTGTTGGTTCACGCTCTGCATTTAGGAGTTACCGGGGCGAATAATGCGCAGACAGTTTTCAATAAACAGCGCAGATGTGATCCAGATTTCACCCTTACTCCGTTTTTAGAGACTTTGTGCCAGCAGGAAGCGTCTGTGCGCGCGGACGCACTCGTTCTGTAAGTAACGTAGAGTAAACTGTCGGCTCGACTGTTTTGCTGTTATAAATGTTAAGATCAGAAAATAACGTGGTTTTCCACTTTCTGTAAATAAATGCCTATCAAAATGTTCACTTATAAAAAAAAATGTGCACACATAAATATTCATACATTTGCACTTGTCAACAAAAGAGTTGATTATACAATCGTTTTTTGTTTTGTTTTTCGTTTGTTTTACAGGAGACCTTTGGTGTGCTTGTTTTCTGAAGGCTTTCAGCGAAATCTGCTTTGCTTTCTGCATCTGATTCACCCCGGACTTCCTAAAGACAGTGTTCTCCATCTGCTTCACTGTCTGACTCGGGATGACAGGGAAAATCAGTGGGCTTGTGCTTTAATCAAGCAGCTGCAAAGAGATATTGAGGGCACTAGGGAAGGGACCCTCCTCACCTCAAACTGTACAGAGACACTAGAGAGTCTCTGTGCGAGATTCAGGAATGCTAATGCGAAGGGAAGATGGGCCTCTTGTTTTGAGGGGCTTAAAACAGAGGGTAAAGAGACCGACGTGTCTGTGAAAAAAAGGAAAAGTGACAACATGGATCATGATGGAAATGCCCAGGAAAATCATCAGAGTAAAAGGGTAAAGGTGGATTTCTCTCCAAGTAAAGAAGAGAGGTTGACTGAAGAGGAGAAACATAAAATGAGAACAACACAGCAGAACCAGAGTGCTGCCTCTGTATCACAGGCTCATTCTGATCTGTTGGGGTCTTCAAAAAACCTGCCAGACAACATGAAGGTAAATTGAAGTGCAGTTAAACTGATATTTAATTTAAAGTACATTATTAAAATCTCGGTAACGCTTTACAATAAGGTCTCCATCTGAGTTAATCCATCAACTAACATGAACTAACAATGAGCAATATGTTGTTACAGCATTTATTAACTTTTGTTAGTGTTATTTATTAAAAATGTTCATGTTAGTTCAAAGTGCATTAACTAAAGTTAACAGATACTACATATAACCTTAAAACGTTTTAGTAAATGTTGAAAAATAAATATGAACTAATTTTAATAAATGCTGTAGATAAATGCTGTTCATTTTTAGTAAGTAATGTTAACACATGAATCCTTATTGTGAAGTGTTACCATAATCTGCTCATGCATGAAAAAAAAAAAGATGGTTTCATGTTTTTGTGTCAGAATTAATGGACGAATTTCTAACATTTTGCATTCCATTTTTAGGCTGCCATTCCTGTGATTAAAGAATTACTGGATCCAGAGTCAGTGGTAAGAAATGTTTGTTTTTTGCAAATGTAACTGCTATAATTCATCCCATTTATATAATTTCAATTTTTTTCTTCACAGTGGGATGAGAGCTCTCTGTCCGCTCTGAAAGTATTTCATGAATGTGACTCCAATGAGGTTTGTGGTGTTTCAGTTGAAAATGAAATGCTTTTTGGATTAGTTACTCCATAAATGCATCAGTATAAATGAGTTGTATCTGATCACAGGTGGAGTTATTGTGTTCACTGCTGTGTTTGTCTGAAGCATCTGAACAGAGTTTACCTCAGTTCTGTAGCTGCCTGTTGGAGCTTTCTCCAGACCTCAGTCACAGCACTGCTTCTGCTGTGATCACACACCTGCTGCTCGACAAGGTCAGTACCTTCATTTGCCATAGGTAAACGATCTTACAATGATTTTAATCATAATTTTGAGACTCAGAACATCAACAGGTGAGTAATATATACACGTAAATATTTTTGTGATATCACAAAATAGATATACTATAGCCTAGGGGTGGAACGGTACACAGAAGTCACGGTTCGGTTCATACCTCGGTTCAGACATCACGGTTCGGTACGATTTCGGTACAATGGAGTGAAAAGCAAAGCAAAAATGCAGAAGGCATTTTTATAAATGTCTTACGCCTTGTATTTTTTAAAATAAGTTTTATTAATAAAGGCATAGAACCAGTTTATTTGTAGTGCACTGACAGTAGTTTTATATAATTAGTTTATTAATTAAATTATTAAAAAGACGAAAAGATCTTGAGATATGTTTGGTAATTGTACCTGAATGAATTTAAAATTAATTTGCTATTTCAGATCAAGATATTTGTTTTCCTTCATTTTAATTAACTAACTTTATTCTCATCTGAATTATAAATAATTGATTTCCGTATAAAATAATACTACCATAAAAACTTTTGTTAACAGTTGTAGGTTACAGTTTGACAAGAGTTTAGAGTGTGACAAAAGCACAATGTTGTGTTTTATTGCGAGTGTACACAAATATAAGTAAACAATTTGCAGTTTTAATGATGTCCTGTATGAAAAAAATGACGGAGTATGTTTTTACGTTTCCACTGTTCGATCGCCCGTGCCTCTCTCACACACACACACACACACACACACTGTTCATCGCGCGATTCGCGCCCGCGCCTCTCTCTCTCGCACGCGCGCGCACACACACACACACACACACACACACACTGTTCATCGCGCGATTCGCGCCCGCGCCTCTCTCTCTCGCGCGCGCGCGCGCGTGCACACACACACACACACACACACACTGTTCATCGCGCGATTCGCGCCCGCGCCTCTCTCTCTCTCGCACGCGCGCGCACACACACACACACACACACTGTTCGATCGCGCCTCTCTCTCTCTCGCACACACACACACACACACACACTGTTCGATCGCGCCTCTCTCTCTCGCGCACACAGACACACACACACACACACACTCCTGCATTGCAATCTTGATCGCAGCCTGTTCATTGCTGCGTTCACAGTCACACCAAAAGCGAATAGAGCGAAATTTATCGCTATTTAAGAGCTTTTTTTTATTTGTACCGTGTATTCTGCGTGCAAATTCGTGCACCGAACCGTGACGCCCGTACCGTTTCGGTTCAATACGAATACATGTACCGTTCCACGTGTGTGCGTGCATGCGTACAGCATTGGTAAAAAACAAAAACAATTATGAATAAAATTATTACTTTGCAATACATTAAAAAATCTTACCCCCAAAACTTTGGTTGTTTGTTTCCTTTTATGGTTTGCACAGAAATATAATAATAATATAATTTGTAGGTGTTATGATTTAAATACTTTTTTTTCATATTGATACTTTAATATTTGATAATTGCCAGAATAAAAGCTCAGTCGCACTTATATTTATGTATTTCTCTGTCTCAGATTGTGTCCCTTGCAGAAGCTGCCTCTCGTTGTTTGGTAACAGTCGTAACGTCTCTTTGCACTCGTTACCCCAGACCGACCTGCCAGGCGCTGATAGACCCAATTTTACGGAAGGGACAAACTGGTATGATTTTGTATTTTTTTTTAATCTGCATATCAAAGTTAGCATGCATTTTGTTTGTTTCAGACCTTTTTCATTTAACACTAATTGTATGTTTTCTTTAGGAAGCGCCCAGGCAGAGTTACTCTGTAGACTGGTAGAGGACTGCCTTGAGCCACATCACAGACTTCTTGTATTTCGGTCAGTCTGAATCTTACGATTTAACTGTCAGAAAGAAATTGCTGGAATATACCATGTTTGAGTAACTTAACAGGTTGACAGAGTTTTACTAACCATAGAAATTTGCATTCAAATCTTAGGACAATACTTGGAGTGTCCTGGGATGAGGGTGTGTTATTAGTCATCCATGCATTGCTGGATTCAAAGGTACTTCAGAAATCTCTTTTGAATCTTAAAGGATGGTTTAGTCCTATCTTAATGGTTTCTGTTGTAATGCTCACAGCTTGATCTGAGTGAAGAGGATTTCTCTCTCTTCACCGACCAGCTTTGCAGACAGTCTCCACATTTTAGCAAATCTATGAAGTTTGCCAAGATGTTGCTGAGTGTCTTGACCAAATATCAGTCACATGTGAGTATAACTGTAATATATGGAATAAATAAATAAATTTTTGAAAAACACCTGACCATAGCCTTCAACCACAATATTTTTAAGTATAATTTTATGGTCCTCCTCGGCATCATTAATACTAAGAAACCTAATTATTCTCCATACACAAATTACTGAGGCATATGATATTAACTAATAAACATCACAACACTAAATATCTACATGTTAAAATGATTTTTTTTTAAAGCTAGTGTAAAACTGCTAATTAATAAGGTTTTTCTTTTTTCGTTTCAGGTGAATCCTTCATGCCACCATACACTTTCCAGTTGCCTGTCTTTCAATGAAACCTTCCTCAAGAAATCATTGCAGGCTGCATTAAAACGGATTTCTCTTTGAAACATATTATTCTCATTTTAAATGACACTTGACTTTCTTGTGATCTGATTGTATTATTTTGTAAATATATTTTGTAAATGTAATAAAAACGTATACATACTGTATAGTTGTATTAAAACTATAAAGTTGTATTA